AGGTACAAAGTATTGACAAATAAACTTAACTGCCGAGTAGTTTCCGAGGATAAAGGTTTAGTGGCGACGCGAGCAGTTAAAGTGATAGTTGGGCGACCGCACGACAATAAGTCAGTGTGAAGATGAGTGTGGAGGAAGAGTTCTTATGGTATCTGTTCGAGCTATAACAGTAAATCTAAAAGAGCTGGGATTTACGCCGTGCACTGGAGGCCGCGTTCGTGCTTAATTACCGCCCGTCGAGAACGGCAAGATTAGTTTTCGTTCCCACTGCGATGATTTCGGCACATATAACCACCCAACTGCTCCGCCTACTTTTACGTTAGCAAGCACCATTTATCACTACCATCCACTACGTATTTCTGTATACGACAATTGAAATTCCTTCCTTTACGTTTTTAGGTACTTACTTAATTATTTCAGTTTTTATCTCATCCCCTTTTACCATAAACCTGAAAGCTTTGTACAAAATATTTTAGTTTAGATTTTTTTAATAAAAATATATTTAATAGTTGTGGTGTTCGTTTAATATTTATTATATTAATTACAGCACTCATATTTATAGACACTGGAAATTCACACCAAACACGTTATCATAATAATAAATATTGAACTATGAAATATGTTTGAATTTTTTAGAAATTTACATCAATATTTTTAGAACTACTACTTATTTTCACTTGAAAGCAGCTAATAAAATTTTACCATAAATATATTTATAGAAACTGCTTTAATCCTTTATAGCATAATAATATCTATTTATACAAGATACAAAATCGTCAACATTTATTGAAGTTCTCTTTTTATTAAATGGATTTTTTATCAAATAGAAACCTTTTTTTGATAATTAATTACAATCAATAGTTAACATTGATCGAAAGTCACAGCTTGAGTGAGGTATTATTTTGCCGCTCAGTCTAAGTTAACTCTTTTAGCTAGTATCTATGAGCTCCATCTATGAGCAGCAATATACCAGTATATTGCTGCTCATAGATGGAGCTCTTCTTGATGAACACTTTAAATGTGAATTATTGAAAATAACAGTAATAATATATTTTTTTCAGACATCTGACACACAACGCTTTTTAGTTTCAAACTAAGCAGAGCTTTTACAATGGAAGCTAGATTGACTGATAGAATACTTACATACTTTTTTGTAAATACATACATATTATACATAGAAAACACCCAAACGCCGAAACAAATATTTGCAGATCATACAAACATTTGGTCCGACCCGGGAATCGAATCCGAGACCTCAGCACAGCAGTCGCGCATACCTCTGAACCACCGTGGCAGCGAGTAGTATGAACAGTATTGAACTTTGCACTTTAAGTTCATATGTAAACAGAGCAGTCTATTTCAGCGGACGTCAGCGTACGCTTTTATCAGGACTATTAAAGAAAAAGTTTTTATAAAATTTTCATTTTTAAAGTGCCAGATTATTTCGCCACTTAAACTCAGTTGACCCTTATGAATGGACAGTGCACAGTCTAAATATCTATAAGGAATTTCGTAATATTTGAATGTTTTATACATACCATTACTTATCAAGTCAATTTCATCTTTTCTTAACAGTCTATAAGTTTGGGTATAAGAAGCAATCCTTCAAAATAATAAATCAATTTTACAAGCTTTAATTTATTTATAATTGTTCAATCTATTGCACATACTTGATATGGTATTGCTTCTCAACTTTGCAGCAGTATACTACAAAGACCCACGTATGAGCTTTTTCTATATAATAAATGACAATAAAAACACACTAGAGAGTGCTGCTCTGTCCTCACTTGCAGCACTGCACACGGAAGGGTCGTATGTCGACACACACTTGCCAATAGTATGCTATTTTGGAACAAATAAATGATAATGAAAATGATAACAATATATATGTACAGATATTCCAGGAAATACCGTCTAGACAATTTGTAGATAACCTTTAAGATTAATTAACAGGGGTCCATGAAAAAGCAGATAATTCAATAACCGTTGCGAAATTAAATTTAGGTAGTTGTGTTAAGTAGCTTTACATCTGAAATTAATTGGTTATAGGACAGAGTGCCGTTGCCACAGAGCTATGTTTTACAGTTGTTATGAAGCAAATAAATATGTAGAGCTAATACCCAAGCTTTCTAAAAATCCGGAGCCGGTCCATTTCGATTTTGTCGAAGCATGGCTCTCCCACCGTGTTAGCATAAACGGTTTCTGGAATAGAATTCAATAAAATAATCATATAAATAAGATTTGCATAGAAGTTTATGAACAGTGTTTTAACATCGTAATCGACATAATCATAAGCAGGGCTTGGAATAACGTTTTAAATATAGCAACGTTACTTTTGTTCTGCATATGTAACGATGCTTAAAAAAAACGATACTCGAATTAATGTTACATATGAACATCATATATCGGTAAAATAAATCATTACCAGCCATTTTAACGTAATAGTTTGACGTTACAATTATGCATAATTTTGAATGATAAATATCGTACTTCTTACATTTTTTTACCGAAATAAGTAGCAAGTAATAATTATGACAAACAATAATACCAATCAAAAGTATGTACTGGCAACTGAAACCAATACCGAGGACTTTTATCGACTTCATTCTTCAAATAATACGAGTTAATAAGCTCGCAAGCTGGTTAGTTATGTTGCCTAAGAGATATCGTTATAATATAGTTCTGTTACTTATTAACCACCAAAAATTAACGTTATAGTACTGTTATAATAGCGTTCTGTTACTACCTTATCGTTAAAATCTTTACCCTTATTTAAATCATCTTTACACAATACTTTATACTGTCGATTGTGTGCACTTGGTGAAACTTGTTGACTATTTCACTATTTAATTTAATTTGGCCTGAACGGTTTTGCCTTATGGAATTTCAAAGATTGCTGTTTTCAAAACTGTAAATTTAACCCATATCACTTGTGGGTAAACAGAAATAACAGTAGACCAGTGTAAGAAATGTACCCTGAAAATAGGGCAATTTTAGTTCCTTAAATTTTATTAATATTACATGTCCAATCAAACTGAAATAAAAAAATGTAAAATTAATACCTTAAAAAATCAATATAAAAATTAATGCAGAAGTCTTCTTAAAATTATATGTCAAATTCTATTACATACAACATTTTAATGTCTCCTCCTTAATCTCCAAATTAATATAAAATTAAAATGTGAAATAAGTAAATGACAGCACATAAATTGTCAAAAACCTCAAAATACCCATCTTGTGGATGACATCACTTGAAATATTAGGAATATAAATACAAGTGAGTTTGATTTCATAATGTATTTATACAATACCGTTATTTAACGTTACTTTTAGTGAGAAATGGTATCGTTATCAAGCCTTGATCATAAGGCAATAAAGCCTAAATGTTACCGGTCTCTGTGTAATTCGTAAAATTATTGTGACCTATATCTTGAACTCGACACAAAGCCTTCTTCCGCCGATGAAATTGTGTCCTTGGCACCATGACACGATAAAAGGGATTATTGATCATTAATTATTTTAAAGTTAATATGATATTGAATGGCGAAAGTATTGAGATTTGACAAAAAATATGATTAAGTGTAGCTTAATCATATTTTTTCAAGGTTAAAATTGCCTCTACGTGCATGGCGTTTAAATTTTAAGATCAAAGACGACGACCGAAGAAACAGACAAAATGAAAAATATATACATGTCATGCAACCCGACTGTGTCCATGTTGGATGACATAAAAATCTTATTCCTATTTTTTATTTTAATACTGATTTATATTCAAATTAATCACTCTTATTAATCTTTTCTTCATACTTTTGGTTATAATTTTTTATTACTACCAACGGAAGTCATAACAGACAGTTATCATACATTTTCATTAATATTGTCATTACATTTGTTTTTTGTAACCGGGGCGAAAAATCCCTTCGGGTCTGCGGCTCCTTGGGTATGTAGGAGCCAGGAGTATGTGGTGTCGGATCGCGCAAGTCTGGTCATAGACTCTAGCGTCCATATCCGCCAGGATATCAAAAGGTGGGAAACGTGCCAGGACTGTCGCCGCTTCCGACGAGATTGTGCGGTAACCTCGTACGATCCTAATGGCCGCTACCCGCTGCGCTTGATTGAGCTTAGCTCGGTAGCGGGAGGACGCCGATAGGCGCTTGGCTCATATCGGCGCTCCGTAGAGGGCCATGGATCGTATCACCGCACAGTAGAGGAGGCGAACTTCCTCCCGCTAACCTCCTAGATTAGACAAAATAGAAGGCCTAAGTGCCAAAAAACAAAACATATGGACCTTCTTCGTTACAATACTATCACTACTCGAAAATGAAACAAGAAAACAATACCTACTATTGTTTTCTTGTTTCATTTTCGAGTAGTGACACAATAATACATGACATAATAATATGTTAACCAAAAATTCTTGTACTTATGTATAAACACTTTGAAAATTTAATGAAGAGTCAATTCCAGAAGTAAAGAGAGAAACATTTCAATGATTTTATTATAAAAGTATTTTTTTTAAAGTAACAGTAAATAAGCAATACGACAAATATTTTTGAATCGCATGATCTATCTATTCTCTCTATGCACAACCAGCTATTATAAACGCCGAATCCCATATCTATAAACTAGCTATTACTTACGAGAAATATGATGTGGAACGTAAACAACGCGTGAACCTAAAGAATTCATTACGATAACAGTAGTATTGCTGTAATGTTTTTGCCGGTATCGGCAGTATCTCTAAACATCAACATTGAGATTGCAGAGTGCTTACATCAATATATCGCGCGATGTCGACACGAGCGCAAGTGTATCAGACTATTTAGATAAATCCATTTTATTTGTTAACATTAAACTACAAAAACCGAGGAAATTACAAGTGTTGATATTTATTGCGGCAAATTATAAATAGTATTTTTTAACGAGTAACCAATTTACTTTTATCGTGTTTGTTTTTGATTGGTGACTGTGGAAATTGAGACCCGAAATCTTTAGTAACAATGCGTATCCGATCCGTTCTTCGTTTGATATTCATAGGGGTAGTTTTTACTTTTACTTTGGTTCTGCTGGTTCATTTGTCGAATATAGACAAACAAGCAAACGGCGGTTCGGTCCATTCTTCGCGCCTATTTCGCCACGTACGTCGAGGAATACCTGACGATCAAGTGGAAAGAAACTTAACACAGCGTCCAGAGTACATCGTTCAGGTTCGAGCCATTTTGTAACGTGAAGTATTTAAAGACATTATGTAGTTATTATTTATTACATGCTAACATCAACAAAGTTACTATCTGAACTCTCGCAGACGGCTTCCCAATGAATCCATTCAATATTTTAAGTTCAGAGTGTAATTGGTTAAGTCGCGCTGTTTTTCCAAGTCATTGGAGGTTCTCGAAGTTTCCCGGTAGCTAATAATAATTAATGGTCTTGACGAAAGACCGATATCCTTTCATTAGTGTCCCGTCTCTGCACGGAACGGTCGAGATTAAAACTTACTCAGAATGAGGGCTTTGCTAAGCGCTTTTTGAAAAGGCGCCGTTCACGATACGCCTTTGAAATGCGAAATGTGGTCGACGTTTTATGGAAAAAAAAATTGTTGACGTTACCGTAAAAGATTTTAAATTTCTTTAAAGTATTTAGTAGTTTAGGTATATTTTAAAGTTTTGTGGCGTTGAAATAGAACGTTACAGTTCTTTTTTTTTAATATAGAAATAAACACATAATTATTTATTCATCTATAAATATATATCAGATTTGCCTTCCTCCACTATCACGAAGATACCAATACAGATAGTATAGATATCGTTCTAAAAATTCTGTATTGTATAATATTCTTTTTTTTGTAATTTCTAAATATTTTCTTTTTTTTGTAGATGATGCTACATGCTTGGAATAACTACAAGCTGTACGCTTGGGGCAAGAACGAACTGAAGCCGATGTCGAAGCGAGCGCATCTGTCAAGCGTGTTCGGTGCTGGCGACTTGGGCGCCACCATTGTTGACGGACTCGACACCCTTTACATGATGGGCCTCATGGACGAGTTCCGCGAGGGACGAGATTGGGTCGCGCAACATTTGCATATCGAAGAAGTTGTAAGTATGATAAACAAATTGTTAATTGATGAACAAATGGCACCGGAAGAATTGCTATTATTTGAATGTTTACAATGATTTCTTGATGATGTTTACTATGACCGTCTCAATCTTGACTTAACAACCAAATTATGTCACTGCCATGATGTAAAAGGTCATGTATTTCATTAGTTTTTATCTAAGAATGGCCATTTGATGTCCCAGGTCTAGTGGCCACTCCAATTATATTATAAGACACGGGTACGTACGTACTTTTGGGCTACTGCACTCTTAGTCCAGTTTCCCCATCCAAGACTTACGGTATTAATTACCTTAACTTCCTCGCCTTATCTCTTCTACTTGCCACTAATTTACCTATTTTTTATACCGAAAAACTGAAAATAATTACCATGAAAGAAAAGAAAACCCGCCAAAACCCTTTGCTGGCCTTAAAAAAATGCCAAAATCAGCTGTTACAAGTCATCAATTCCGCTATAGCTCGATAGCACTGAGTTTCAGTTTGAAAAGTATCGTCATAATTCAATGCCAATTAAGACCCTTAAACTCATTTCGAAAATAAATAACATTTCAATAAATAATCGTACAGGTTATTTTTTTACTGTATGGGCTCTAAAATTCACGCAAGATTCAACTTCAGTAAGATTCAGTTACAGCTCGGCTATACACTCCTTCACGCGTTCGCCTGCCTGTACAAACCAGTTTGCGACGATAAGCGTATGCGTGTGTAGGGCAATAGCTCGCTCAAGTTCAAATGCTTTGTTTGGAGGGTTTTTCCTACGAATTTATTTGAGGTACGGCCAATCATTCAAGCCATGCGTCCCTTAAATTATTTATTAAAATGACTAATGCATGAAGTTATTTAGGAGAGTTTGACAGGGTTATAGTTGGAAATAATGCAATTGGACGTTGTCAATATACTTTAATACAAATACTACAGTCTAATTTACCTGCAACTTTAGGCACTGCATATTTTGTACAGTCACGTGTACAAATCTACTATTTTAGTACTGCGCAGACATAACGGTGCGTGTGGTTGGGCCAAAATATATTTCTGTAATAAATTCTTTCGCAATATTGAGTGATTAAAATTTCATAACCTATATATTATTCGTAACTGATAAACTAGAAACGTTAACTTTAAAGTTAATGATAACTATATTCTTAACACTCTTTTTCGGTATCGTAGTTTGTTATCTCTCTATTTGCAAAACAAACTCGTGTTAGTGAAAACAGATCACAAACGGTTGAATCTTTGATGTTTAAAATGCCTTGCTGTGTGTGCTCACTACATTTTTTGGTAGTTGAAAGCTCCCTTGTTTGCTTTCCTTCTACTATTAATTTAGTAATTTAGCATCCTCATCATGATTTATAAAGTAGTGTTAACAACTGCATATAAATAAAAAACAACTGCATATTAACACTAATTACCTGGGCTTTACTTATTTCCCTTGTAGGAATTGAGCGCTATTTCCTTTATGGGATATGGGGTTGCAATTCAATAAAATCCGTTATCCCAACTATGACACATATGAACCATGACCCAATACACTAACAGTTAAGAGTCGCATATTATAGTTATACTGTGATGAAGGCGGGTGGGACATGGTTTAAAATATGCATGTACTTGCATAAACGTCATGCTTTTTAACAAACAATGTCCTGTACCTATTTATTATCGAAATGAGTTCATGAGCGGAGGTACTAGATAAAAAGGTCACGGGAACCGGGTTGCTTAACTGCGATGTAGGACGTATCGGATATTTAAGTAATAGTGTCAATTAGATATGTAAGAAGTAAAAAGATGTAGGTTTGATCTTTAAATAAAGCGTCACAAGGTAGAATTTACAGCTAGGATGTAGTAGTTTAATGATTTCTCCCACAATAAAGGTTGTCCGATTGTGTTAGAACTACTTATGTTCATCACTTTGATAATTTGTGTTTCATATGGTCAATTTTGCAGTCAGCGATACTGTTCTTTTTTTAGTTTAAATATCAATCAATCCATCGATAACTCCATGTGACATTATCATCATGTATTATAATAGGAATTGGATCAAAATTAGGCGCCGGCGACGAATTGTTTGTCCTGCCGGGCCCTCTCTACCGCGTCCTTCTGCGAGATTACGTCTTCGCAGAAGGATGCGACAGCGGTTAAACAACTATCACTACCGGCCATGAAGCGTATGACGGAGCCTTTCCGAAGGAGCCGTGCCCGCAAAAGACCTGCGTCAGCCGGAAGCAAAGGGTCCCATGCTACCGTCCTGCCAACTCGACGATAACCGGCTGGAGCGCCTCCAGGGTGGCAAAGCCAGCACGTGAAGCCTCCAGCCGGGACGACCAACGAGCCATCGTGGTTTGGCGAGCGGGCCTCAGCCACTCTCGTATCTCTTCGGGCGGGGGCCGACTGCCACTATCCGCCCGGAACTCAGCCGTCCGCTGATATACTTCGGCGAGCATTTCCCGGCTTCGTAAACAGGACCAGCTTCCCATTCTTCCAGAGCTCAGGGAAACTAACGTCCAGACACCAAACTAACGTCGAACACCTACCTCAGGCGGTCTGACATATGGTCGAGGGCTAGGGCCAGCACTCGAGCAGGTATCCCATCTGGCCTGGGGCGGTGTTCTTGGAACGGATCCACAGAACAGCCGCCCGTACCCTATATACCTTATACCCTATACTGAAATGGCCAGCACTTTGGTACTTTGTGCAAGTTTGTAATTTAAGAAAAATGTTATTTAACACATATTAACGTTCTATACAAGATAACTCATATGTTAGTGTAGTGACTATCGTACACAACCGTAGATACACAATATTTCCTACGGGAATACGTAAAGGAAACTCACCATATAATGCTAAACGACGGGAGACTGCCATACAAGCTCTTTACGACACCCATGGGAAGCCATGAGTCAGCCTACATGTTCGGTAAAAGTTTTGGTGATATTTTTCTTTCAAAGGAACTTAGTTTTTCGTGTAGGTCACTACTGTTCTTTAATTTTGCCTTAATTTCTCTCCTCTTATTTCCGGTTGACGGTATAGATAGTGCTGTGATTGCTCTGACACTGGATAATAATGTAGGATCAAGTCTTACATTTGAAGGGTATTGTGTGAAATTGTTGTAAATAACTAAATAAACTATAAAATACCTACTTTTTTTACTTTTGATACGGTGATGATCAAGCTTTACTTAAAATTGATAAAGATGAGTGGAGTGGATGATGAAGAAGAGTGGCGAATGGAATATTTATATTATATGTGTTGTGTCAGAATCGGGTAATCCTTAGCTGTATCAGAGAGTGAGAAGTGAGAATTCACAAAATTCTAACGAAATATAACATTGACCCCATTTCCCCAAATAATTTTGCTCAATGCAATGAGAATGTGTGCGTGACATGGCCGATATTGACATGATTTGATTAATATCTATTCGCAAAAGAGACATTTTAATTACGTCTTATTTGAAAATCATAAACAGAAATGTCATAACAAGTAATGCAATCTAATAACGAATCAATCATATAAAATACGTTATTTTTGCTCTACTAAGGTGTACGCGTATAACCATTATATTTAGAATAAATAATTATTATACTAAAAGAAGTATGAATACTCTTTCAACTGTCGAATCCTCTTCTAACAGACAAATCTTAAGAAGAGATGCATATTTACAGCAACATATTAGTTTCTGATAGTGGAAATTAGTCATGTTCACTATCATACCATATGTTTGATCTGCGGTTAGAACAGCTATGTAATCTGGACCTCTGCACTATACAGGTACTTATGGTCTTGGCTGTACTAGTATTTCTACTTCTTGTACAGCCAAGACCTGTGTGTGTAGTACCTGTCTGTGTAGTAGGTATCTTTGACAAAGCTGGCTCCTTAAATACTTTTCAGACTACCTAAATTGTGTCTTTGGAAACAACCACATCACTATTGCTATAAACTATCATGCAAAGTTGTTCGTGCTACTCAAATGACTGTTGTTAAACTTATAGATGTACACTTAACATTTTATTACCGCACTATTGCCTGTCATGTTCAGGCGCACTAATCTCTTGGCACCACCTCATTTTTATTTAACTGTTTTATCGTGTATTATAATCAACTATTGTATTATAAAGTAAATAAGATTTTTATGTTTTTAGATTATCACCACACTATTATCTACTATATTAGTTAGGTTAATTGAAATTGGCGCTCTTAAAATTTCATTATAGTTATCTGGGTCTTGTATAAATTATAGGTACGGATTATAAAGAAACAAATTAGAAGCATGTGAAAAGAGAGATATCTGATGACTTAGAGAGAGGGCCAAAGGTCTGTCTCTGCCTTAGAAGGCATGTGTAAATAATATACTGCTTTTTGTTCCCCAGGACGCGGACCTTTCAGTCTTCGAAACTACGATCCGCTTCGTTGGCGGATTATTATCCTGTTATTCTCTGACCGGCGACACCATGTTCCGTGACAAAGCCGCCGAAGTTGCCGATGCTCTACTGCCAGCCTTCGACACACCGACTGGACTACCTCATGCGCTTATCAACCCTTCGACCAAGGTATGTTTTATTTTGTAGTTAGTTGTACTTATACCTATTTATTGAAGAATAACAACACATCAGTTCAAGATTATATGAAAGATCTACTGCTTAATATAAATTAATACATTAAACAAGGGTCAGCTTTTATTTAAGAAAGCTCCATGACCCATAGAGCTTCCTGAAATAAAAACTGAATCTGACCTGACAAAGGTGACTATAAACCTCAGTGGGCACTGAGTCTTCAAAAGAGACCTTGCTGTTTCCTCCTGTAATCCTGGCAGCCACAACCCGTAGCGACGTAGCACCGTGGATAAATCAGATCGACTTAATCTGATCCTATATTTTAAATATTAATCTGGAACATATGATATCGAGTTTGATATACCTAAACTAAAATATTTCTATTAATCCCACAAACAAAAACTAAACTTTCTTCCCTGGATAGTTAAATTATATAATGATTCGATTGCCATACCTAATACTGAAGTCGATTCTCAATTTTATGTTACTCATTAGGCTTCGGGAGTTGCGTCTCAACATCCGACTAAAAAGAAAAAAAAGTAAATTTTTCCCGTTTTTGTAACAATTTTTCATTGATGCTAGGCTGTACATTTCCTTGCCTGCTGTACATGCTTTTCTCGATAATGTCCTATCCAATACTAATAATTTTTCAATTCGTACCAGTAGTTCTTGAGATTAGCAGGTTCGACCAAACAAACGAAACTCTTCAGCTTTATAATATAAGTATAGATTTGTGCCGATTCATTGCTCTCCATCGGTAATCTATCTTCCTCAGAGCGAAACAACACCCGATATTGAAAAGTATTTATTAAAGAAATGCGGGCTTACTCACGACTGTATTTCAGAGATGCCCGACTAGTATTTTTTGCGGTTGTAGAATCAGGCTTCGTCACAAATGGACCGGCTTGCCTAAAAAACACTGTTAAGCAATTGTTTCGCTGCTTTTCATCGAGTGAGTGAGGCCTCAACCCATCTCGCCCCCTAATAATGGGGGGCATCACACTTGTGACTCTTGAGTTATTAATACACAGGCACAGCACGATTACAGTATGAACTAAAATAATGTGTATTTCATTATCCATGGAGGTGTTTTTATAAACACAACCTTTGTAAGCTTTGAACTTCAATTGTATCGATATACGAGTATATAATAATAAACTAAAATAGTTAGTCTTAAAAAATATATGTAAATATATATGTAGTTGTAGTTGAGTTGGCAGACATGTTATTATTTATCATAGTTATTTAGTTAGCACTCCAAGTTTAAATCTAGTTATTTTTGCGCATTACTGAAGTATGACGTATACGCAATTGTCTGTGTTAATTCAGCGATCAACCTAGTAACCAAATGTTATCTCAATCCGATTAGCGATAACAATTCTATTGAGTAAAAGACGATAAGAATTTGAATGCGTAAACTGTAATTTCCTCCCATGGTCGCATTGATAAACATATTCATTTCAATTTCAAATATTCAAACAAGTATTGATGATTTTTACGGTCTAGTTTCTCGCTCTCTAAAAACTCAGAATTAATGTTACAATGGGACAAAGCTTAATATTTAATATACATATATATATATATATATCTACTAAATATTTAGTATTGCCTACGTATACACATACGTTTTAAGTATATTTAGACTATTGAATGACATTTTAGCTACAGTATCCTTTGTTTCAAAGCACCTTTAGCAGAATTTTCATGTTCATTAAAACAGGTCGTTGGCAACAAATAGAATATCCTGACAACATTACAGGAACGTATCGCTTGCAAACATCCTCCCTATAAATATTTATTGATACTTCCATGAACTATATCTTTATTTTTTGTACACGTTCTTTCTTGTCAAATTTTAGTATAAGACGATGTTACTTGTCAAATTTCATAGTTCTAGTTAAACGGAAAGTATCCTATAAATTTTGATTCCCTTAGGAGTGTCTAAATATGCGTTTTTTGCGGCATAAACAAGCTCCGAGGCACTGTACGCCTAATTATATGGTTTTAATTTCAACTCGATACACGTGCCCGAAATAAATTATCTTGACAGACGGACAACAAAGTGATCCTATATGGGTTCCGTTTTTTTCTTTTGAGGTACACGAAACCCTAAAAATAAGTATTCGAATTGATACAGTATTGTGAATCAACTCAAATACTAACTTTAAAATGCTTACTGTATACTGTGAATTACTTTATATGCTATGTCGGCTATCCGACATGGAATAATTGCGGTGATTGCACCCTCGAAACCATCTAAAAGTTTATTAAGCGATTAATCAATCATAAAGCCATAACAGTCTGGTAAAGCCGTAAATAAGGGTCCTTAGAAAATCATCCCGAGATAATGCCATAAGCCTTAGTATTGGCAGGTTTATTAGCCATTCGCCTATGGTTACCACTCGAACAAGTTATCTTTGATCAATGCAGTGCAATGCAATGAAGTAATCCTGGCAATAACTTTTCATCGGTATAAATTATGTTGAAAATAGTCAACAATATATAATGTAATTATATTAACAAACACAAAAAACTATTTATTTCATTTGAGGTTATTTATAAGGTAAGCAGTGCTGGTTCCTAAATTTGATTTTTTTCTTCTCTTCCTCAACGATATATTTATTATATATATGGTTTTCTTTTTGTTAATTGAAATTATAATAGCTGACGAGTATGCAGCTATTTGTACAAAAAATACTATAATTTATACTACGTTACTACTATTGGAATTTGAGTGTTTTATGGAATTCTTGTTGCCATTATAGTATCACCTTCATGATGGTGTCATTGGTAACACTGATGGTAGCTGACGCACATTGTCGTTGATTAAATTATAGATCTCATAGATCATTAGAAATACTGTGTCTGTAAGCTACGTAGGCTGCCTTGTATTCCTTTACATCGTCAATATAAAAATAAAAATCTTCGGAAATTTCTTAATCGCTTTGTTTGCTACTGAATATTTTTTTATTAATACAAAGATCTTTCCGTCATTCATAGTTAGTTCATACGTATAATGGGATGTTCTTTATCTTAAAAAGTTCTCTTTCAATATTTTACGTTTGTATTGCAGGCAAGCCGTCAGTATCATTGGGCAGGACCGAACAGCATACTCTCCGAACTGGGCACCTTACACCTCGAGTTTACTTACCTCAGTGACGTCACTGGCCGTGATAGTAAGTGCATATTTCATACATAAAAATTAATTTGGGCCACGGATGGCTTAGTGGTTTAAGCGGTCACCTCACCGCTTCCTACACATGGAAGAATACTTCATCATCTACAAATTGTTGTTGTGAGTCTAATTGTTCTTTGTTAGGGAAAAGAGAAAGAGATCTTGGTATTCACGTGTGACTTAAAGTCTTATGTTGTACATTATTACGTCTAATCTGAAATAAATTACTTGCATAGTGAATGATAATTTCTTGAGTTATTTTTAAGTCTGTCAAGATGATTTCATTAATCATCTTACTTGTTATACTAGCGTCACTTAATAACAGGAGTCTTTCATTAGCAATGTATATTTAAAGTTTACAGACAGAAGGTGGAACGCATCCGTGAGGTGCTGAACAATATAGAAAAGCCGGGCGATCTGTATCCTAACTTTATCAACCCGCGCACTGGCCAATGGGGACAAAGTAAGTTTACCATTAGTTTTTCTATAGTTTGGAATAATTTCGTTATAGTTATTCACTATAGTGTCACTCACGCGGTTTACGTAGTGTCTTAAAATCCTGTGTTAGACTGAAATGGGTTTTAACAATGTCCATTATAGACAAAATATATAAAAATGCCTTAGTGAATTGTTTAAAAAGATTCAAACAGAAAGAAGGAGAAACAGACTTGACTCTTAGGAAGAACGCATGATGAGAGCAGTTTAGGCAGGAAAAATTGTCATCTGTCAAATGCCATCGTAATGACATGTCAGTAGTGCTGCATTTGCTGTTGTGATTCGGGTCCGTTTACAATTTACTGTCTTAATGACGTTCCACTAACGACTTACACTAAAACAATATGGGAGCAATTTTTAATGCCCATGCTGAATTAAAGTCTAGCTCTATTACTTTTGTTTACCGAACGAATGGAAATTAAATTGGAAAAATAATTGATAAAAATCCAATAATATCAGTGGAACTAAACGGCCTGGGTGATTATTTTTTAAGTATATGTTTACTTCTTTGTACAGAACACTCATTTGGGTTCATGTTTTAATATTAACTGTTCTGGTTGAATATTAAAAAACACAGTAATTATAGCAAATCAATTAGAATTGCATTTACGCAATGGTATTAAAGTAAGTTTAGCGTAACAGTTGCGCTAAAATTTGTGTTGGGATACGACTCTTTCTAGACTTGTTAGTTTCATACCACTAAATATGTTAACATATTCTGTTTGCCTACATATTTGTAACTGTGTACTTAAATATCACACACGGAAGGAAAGGAATTATTTTCAATTACTTTGAAGCGACAAAATTTGGATGCCAAAATATTAAATGGCATAAAAACATCCATACCTGCATATAACAATAAACGTGTAGGTTTTTGTTATATGTAGGTAAATCACTAATTATAATAGTGAAAGATAATTTAAACGCCACGCTGTAGGCATTAAAATGAAGTAATTTTAAATATTACCTTTGTACGGAATACGTACGTATAAGAAGCCTTCTAAACACGAAGCATTTCCCCTTGTGTTTCACATGTAAACTTTTTTATTAAAACTTTGTGCCCTTGCAGTACAACACTTATGATCTTATCATGAGAGTAATAATTAAATATATATGCACAGATTTATGCATACACGTATATAAAACATTAGACTCCCATAATCAGGCGTCATTAACAATCAACTAAATAGCTTGGTCATAGTAGTTTAGCTTTACTTTATTAAGGATTTAGGTAGGGATGTGTATTAACCTTTAAATACTATGTTTCCAGAGCATATGTCGCTGGGCGCCCTCGGTGACTCTTTCTATGAGTACCTGCTGAAGGCGTGGCTGATGTCAGGCGGTGCTGATGAACAGGCTCGCATCATGTTCGACACTGCCATGCAAGCAGCCCTCGACAAGATGCTGAGAGTGTCACCCTCGGGACTGGCGTACCTCGCTGAGATGAAATATGGTAGAATCATTGAAGAGAAGATGGATCATTTATCTTGTTTCGCTGGTATGTAATAATATTAGCTCAAGAGGCATATTATTTCTAAAAGTCCAATGGATTTTTCTTTTTTTCCAAGACTTTTTCAATTAAAATTTAGAATCGCTTCCATTTTTTTTTTCTATAGCTAAATTATAAGATAAACACACGGCTATATAAACATTCACAATTACATATTGATGGTAACGTTATTCACAATTACAAAACAATACAGCATTACGTCTGTATTGCTTTAACCTGCGATGTAGACATTTGAAGGGCTATTCAAGGAGAAATCCTATTTGCCCTTTCTCGTTTCAATGTACAATAAGCTCCTTTAAAATACATTAGACGTGTATTAGAACATTAAAATTGTTAATTATCTTCCTTTAGTAGAAGAAGTTATTTACTACACGTTAAATTAACAGAATAATTTTATTGAGAGATCAGATGAAGAAGAGCCCCTTAGTGATTAATCTGGCACATACATAAATACATGTGTCTGAACGTTAATGGTAGAAAGGAAAGATGATGATTTGTAATGCGTGATGTATGTTATTTATGATGAAGAATAAAATTATTATGAGTGCCAGGGTTCAATGGTCGGTGTGCCCTTGCTGCACTCACCTCATAACAAGAATACATAAACATTATTTACAACTCATTTATGTCAATTCCACCTGTGTAAACCACACGTAAATGTTTTTCTCGCGTTGTGTTTTCTAGGTTGCTAGGTTGAAGTTAAAAAAGGTTAACATGTATTTGTTAACGTATTTCAACTTTCTTAATGATCAATATTTTAATTTATTGAAAATAATATAAGCTAATTTTATCGAGACAAATCCTAATTAATATAATATAGTATATGGTGTAATAACCGCGAGAGAGCCATTTTCGGTAGAAATGGGTGGGCTGGATCGGATTGAAACCCCTTTTTCTCTGATTCTGAGAAGGGGGGAGGGGTTAGTCATATGTCTGCTCGTTTGGCCCCGAAAACAAAAAAATAAAATGAAAATTGTAAATGAGTTGGTTTGTCTTGCTTGGCCTTAACTACTCAACCGGTCATCGTAAAATATTGCATACATGTCATAGCTGGAGAAAAGTTTATCAGTTTTCCTAATAAAAAACTTGGATACTGTTCCCGAAGGCATACATCAACGCCACACTAAGGTAGCCGCTAGAAAACGCTAGTAGACCTGACGCTATATCTTTATATTATTAATAACATGCTATTTTTTGATGTTTAGAACTACATCAAACAGTTTTCTTTTATTTGTGACATTACCCAATCATATGTTCGTTATCTAGGCGGCATGTTCGCACTGGCGTCTACAACCTTGGATAACTCTCTATCGGAACGATACATGGACGTCGCCCATAAGCTCACCAACACTTGCCACGAGAGCTACGCGCGTTCGGATACCAAACTTGGACCCGAGGCCTTCAGGTAATTGTATTAAAAGAGTCAATCAGAGAACCGACATCTTTGAATGTTGATAACTAAAACTACGTGCATGGTATAAAAAACTGTTTTAGTTATTTTATTAACAAAACTAAAACTTGTCAATAGTTAACAAAGTAATTTATACATATAAAAAAACAGTAGTACTCCGAGAGTGCCGACAGAAGAGAAATCTTGAAAATTTCAAATTTTTTGATTATAACAGGACTACCAGGACCTAACAGGAGTGGGTCCTGTTAGGTCCTGGTAGTCCTGTTATAATCAAAAAAGGGCTAGGGCTACAAACTTGAAATTTCGGTAGTTGATGCTTTTTATATTTTAAGCACCAACAAAAAAAATAAACGATTTATGGTAATTTCTCCATTAACGAGGTAAAATAAGCGATAAACAGTTGTATGGAATTTTGTCATTTTCAAAGTTAGAAACACGAAATTCCGTGCACCTACTGCAAGTAAAGTCTGTACGTAACGTGTTTTAGATTCTCTGGCGCAGTAGAGGCGCGCGCCCAGAAGAGCAATGAGAAGGTGTACTTGATGCGACCTGAGACCTTCGAGAGTTACTTCATCATGTGGAGGCTCACTAAGCAACAACGATACCGCGACTGGGGCTGGGAAGCAGTTCAGGTAACCTCTCAGTTTTTCGTCTTTCAAACTAGGCATTACCTGCGACTTAAATCTCCAAAATCTGACATCATAACAGAAATAATTCTTATTATTATCGTCTGATATAATATACCATTCAATAATGTATCTGTATGTCCGTGGGGTGAGGACCTGGTGATTTGTAACACTGGTATTCCATGCTTATCACAAACACCAACTCCTCACATATATAAACTGGACAAGACTATGTAAAATGTAAATGTTATCATTATACTACTTTTTAATACTAAAATAATAATCATTAGAATAAGTCTAGTAGTTTTCAACTGATGTCAAATAAACAGATAAAACGGTTACTAAATTCTTCATTGTCTTTTTGTTTAAGTCTGGGAATACCTACTCTTGATATTCTATGAAAAAATTATTACTTTAGTACATTTTAATGACTAGTCATAAGAATGGTTTTCTATAGTCACTGGAAAATGTATCCACGACGACACGACAGTGTATACATTCATGGAATCCTCTGAGATCTTGTTTCGTATAATCCAGTGAGCATTTGAGTGGGTTGCTCGCATGAGGGGACAACATTTTTATACAACTAATAGTCAATTAAGATCAGTTACAATGTAAAGTAAGCAGTAGTCGAAGATTAAAGATGTTGTTTGTGTCGCACAGGCTCTAGAGAAGCACTGCCGCGTAGACGGAGGTTATACGGGGCTCGTGAATGTGTATCTGCAGACCCCTCAAGGCGACGATGTCCAACAAAGCTACTTCCTGGCTGAAACACTCAAGGTAACCACAAATATGAGTTAAATTATTACTTTACATTTCTTTTCCTTGAAAACGTAAATGGAATATGAAAGATCTATCGAAATTAAACAATAGTATGTAATGGACCCACTATTTTAGAAGTATTTTATTAAATATGTATGTGGCATTGGAATACATTTCAACTTTACATTTTAAATTTCCACTCGTAATTCGATGACACGCTAGGCCGTCATATTGCTGCTGCTGCTTTTACTAGCCACGTGACGTCATGGCGAATGATCGCTATAGCGATATGAGAGTAGTAAACGATTTAAATAGAATTTTCTAATTCTAATTACTTATGGTACAAAACTTAAATACGAAAGTTCTTCATAGTATCAATTTAAATTTTTACCCGGTTATTTCTTTCATTCCAGTACCTATATCTATTATTTGCCGACGATTCTCTAATATCGCTGGACGAGTGGGTGTTCAACACAGAAGCGCATCCGCTCCCAATCAAAGGAAAGAACCCGCTGTACCGAGCAGCGTCCAAGCCCGTGCCCATCGAAGCCAACGAGGACAACAGAATATAAATAACGACCTACCGACGGTACTAAGTACTTTGCTTCCAATCATTTTCATTTATTATTAAGAGAAACTGTCGACAGCGACGCGTGTCGCGATTTCTTCGAGATTTTAGACATTTTCGTATAAAATTTAACCGCCGAGATTTTAATCTCGAATAAACCGACTTCATACAAAATAACAGTAAGTTTTTGTAATGAAATGATTGCATAGTTAATGATTAATAAAAGTTAAGGCTACCGTAATTAATAAGGCTTAGATATATAATCCTCCAGTGATTTTATTATTTTTAATAATGAAACAGCCGATCACTGTTTATCTGTACATTGGTGCGATTGCTATTTGACAGTCACAGACGCGACTTACATTGAATAGAGATTACGTTAGCCTTAACCTAGTAAATATAACCCTTTGCAAAGTATTACTACAAACAAATAATATGGGACAGAAGTATTTGCATATTATATAACAATAGTTGACTTCCGAATCATTAAATAATAATTGTTGCATAACTTTTATTTTATTGTTAACCCTAATTAAGATAAAATTGTTTTGTACTTGCACTCATTGAATTAGGTAAATATAGCTAAACATTATATTATACTTTCAAACTATTTGTCACGTCACTACGGCACTTATTACCCTTATATCTAAATTTGTTGAACACCTGAGATATAAATAATATTATATCCTACATATTTTATTCACTTCAAGTTTTTGGTACGTAGTATAATATAAAATGCATAGTAAGCGTTTCATTGATATGTTCATAATCAAGAATAATGTCGACCAACAATGTCCAAATTAAACGTATGGCGTGGAAATGTAAAGTACTGTATGCACAAAAAGTTTTGTGTATGGAGATTGAGGTATTTTTAATTTCTATATTTAGAGGAATGAGGTAAGGTGATCCATCCATAATAATAAATAAGACGTGGAAACATGTAGCGTTAGGTCTAAGTTCGATTTGATTCAACAGTTTTTCGGTAGATGACGCTAGGTGTAGTTACCGAGAAGAGTATGATGATATTACATGGTATTCCTAAAAGGATTTTTTTAAACTTTCAAGTCCTTGTAAGATGACACGTACTTACATCGCCACGCCCTTGAAAACTCAAAAAGTCATAGGGTGATGTTGCTCAAGTCAATTAGTGAAGGAGACGTCAACACGTCTGTTGTATAAATATAACGGTATTTAATTCAACCGCAGTTCAAATGGCCGTGATCTCAATCAATGTTAAATATAAACACCATTACAAATATATGACATTTATTATGATTTATAAAATCATATCCTTGTATCACTAATATAGATCATCAAATTCCACACAAAACTATTATTATGAAGTTTGAATATAATTTGTGCTGTAAAAAAAAATCAATTATATTTATGTGTCCTTATTTGAATAATCAATTTAAGTATTTATTTATTTATCGATTGTTGGTTTTTGACGAAATAAGTTATAGTTGAGTTCTTACAACGTATGTAACTCGATTAAATATGTAAAAAACCAGGGTTTGTTTGACCAATGTTCACTTATTACGGGCATTATTATCGTGTTATAAGCACCTAACGTTTACTTTAATGATGTAATGCACTGCTTTTGGAAATCTCTAGAATACCTATAAATGTGTGTTCTCGAAGAGTGTATGTAGCCTACATCCGATGACTGTATACATCACGTAAAACGCAATTGCGAGATTCAGGAGTTTTTAATGTATGACATAATAAAAACCCTGCATGGATGTCGTGATTATAATTATTATATCTCTAAATTAAGTTGTCGCTTAAAAGCGTATAATCTCCAGACTAGGTTCACCAGATACTGCTGATATGAGTAAAAAATAATACGTGCTATGATTGTTGTTATAACCAAGTATATACGGAACTTACTCAGTAATATTAGGTAATTTTATGAAATACGATATAATATTACCTTAATTAGTGCCCGGTTTATACATCTAATACCTGAGCGAATGTAACGGTTAGGGAGTCACTTTTTTTTCAAATGAATATGAAAAAATAAGAAATACATTGGCTATAAGTTCTACAGCTTTTGTTAAGTCTAATTGATTCTTAAATTCTTCCATCACTCAGTTTTAAGGATCTGTTGGATACATATTATTTTAGTTACCTATATTAAGCTATTTATTTTTAATTTTATAAGTTGATTTTAACCAATTTTAATAATGTAACAACAAGACCCTACTTTCATCGTTAAGGTATCTTAATGAAGACATTTAATAACTAATTAGTATTCGTACTTATAAGCCATATTTGGGAATCTTAACTCTAAATTTATCTTATTAGGAAACTGGCAGTAATGTGCCAGGATTGTCTTGGAAATTAATAAACCAGACCGACCATTTTGTGATGTGCAATCAATTCATGAAATGGTCAGCTATATCATGAAGTGATCAATTCTATGTACGTCCACGATATGTATAATTGTGTATAATATACATACATACATACATACATACATACATTATATTACGACATCCGTGGATGGTGTACACATAAATTATGAATGTACTATTTTATATTTTACTTAACTGTAACTGTACCATTGACAACTAGAAAACGTTTATTTCAGTTATTAACGTTATTTCTTAATAAATATTATGATTCTTATCAGATCTCGTATTTATAAATATCTAATATATTTTCTAAATGCTTTTTTTATTATTTCGATATATTTTTTTAAATGACAAACTACATATCGGCGAATGAATTGGAGCGCGTGTAAAACATTTTAATGTTTAAACAATGTGTCCTTGGGAATTAAAAGTTAAAAAAAGTTAGCTGGCCTACATTCTAGACTCGTATTTGTTTAGTTCAAATTATAGATGAGTTGATATTGTATATTTAGATGCATTGTAATGACTCCTGAATGGATAAACACATAATGGTCTAGCGGTCGACTAGCCACATTTCAGACCTGAAATCTTTATACATTACAGATTTTATGAGTGTCATGTATTGTGTACATTTTTATTGTGTCTTAAGAGCTACTAATTGCTTATTGTCTAATTAGATAAATATTATGCGCGACTGTAACAAAAATAAATATGTACATATATAGCTACTATAACTGTTTTTTGAATTTTGATACTGCGTCGGGCAAACTATATTTACTCACAAATTTGCATAAACTGTTATCCGTAATGGAAGGATTAAGTAGTTATATTGTACTAATCACAATTACTGTGTTTATCTATTCAGTGACCTGAAAAATAAAACAATAAATCTTATCAATTTGTGATTTAATATACAAAATACATAATAATATAATTTATTATAATTTTCTGCACCTGTTAATAAAGCATTAGAAATAAATAATTATTGTTTATTATAATTTGTCTATTTATGATATTGTTTGTACACAAATTCCATATAATATTGTATCACTCACTGGTAATTAGAACGTTGTAGTTGGAATAATAATGTAAATTGTGTATATATAGTTCTAGACAGTAAAATATTTTAGTTTAGGTTTTTGTGTGTAGCATTGTTAATCTTTTAAATTAAGATACGTGGGTGTGTTTTGCATCAGTTGATGTACATATTTATGTTTATATTTTGTAATATATTTTGTACTGCCTTCTTTTTTTAGTTAACTATATGTTGCACTGTTTTTCCACGTACACATTTTTCATTTTTTTTCGAATTGTAACAAAATTTACCCTAATGAATAGGATTTTATGATTAATAATCTCAAAAAAATAATGGTGTGTCGACGTACAAAATGACGGCAATTTATGAAATGTCATTTTTGCGTGCTCAATTTGCTTTAATAAAATTTCACACATCGTGTGGCGATAATTAGCACATTCATTCTTTAAATTTTCATTCATATTAAAATATTACAGACTAAAATTATGGAAAACATATATAAATATTATAAAACCTTAAATACAAGGTCATTCCCCTAAGAAATATAACCTCGTATTTGGAGTTAAATTTTAATTAAATTAAAAAATGAATGTATTCCTGTTTTCTTGTGTTACTTTATGATATTTTTTTGACAGTATGGTTCATAATTATAACAAGTTTTAAATTAAAATTAATAAATACGAATACAAAGTTATTAGTCTGGTTATTACCTGGTTTAATTAAGCACCGACTTTTTATATCTATAATGACTACATAAATATTAAATTAAACAAAAGACAATTAATAAAGTAACGAACTCTCCATAACATTTATTACGAACAGTAACTTTGCCAGAAACATATTTCCGAACATGTGAACTGTGGCGCCCTCTGTCAGGCTTAACTTGCCCAATTTGCTTTTCCCTCCACTGATGACGTAGAAGGTGCAAAGTCTTGGAGGGAGCGAAGTTATTTTTGTTGAAACATGTAGGTATGTTGGATTCTACAACGATATTTGTGTTTGTTATAAATGATGTTTCAAAATCACCATTGACTTGTAAAATTGTTTCCGTATGACTGCCTGCCTGCGGCTATGTGTGTATGAAGTTGTAGTTTTTAAATAATGTACATTTTTCGGTTATTAATAAAAACATGTTTATAAACTTCGACTTTTACGTAACTACTTTACTTTCCTCCCTCTCCTTTTCCCCCCTCCCGTAAAAACTTTAATGTACCTTGAGACGAATTCTGCCATAAGTCTTAATTGCTAATTAAAAAAAGGTAATCGCTGGTGAAGTAAAGTGGAATATCGTCATGTTCCGCAGATACACATATGTTATATGTATACAACTCAGAAGGATTGTTTTTATACCGAATAATATCTACTAATGCATATTTGTATTGTCATAATCATATAATATTGAAACATAAGTGAACCGCTCACTTATGTGTGAATAATCAAAAGTTTAGCTTTTGTATGATTTTAGGTGATTATGATTTTAGGATTAAAAATAAAGAGGTTATTTAAAGCAGTAACCATACATACAATTAATTTTAGTTAAAAAGTTATGTTTACACACACTTTATGTTTATCTTTATATTGTCATGCAGCTGGCAGAGGCCCGCCAAGGACCAATAGTTTAAGGTCCAGGATTCTTTGACCGTCGGTGGAGTGCGACCGAGGACCGACGCCTGTCTATGTATGGAAAAATTACAAGGTCGCACGCCGCACGCGTCGCCTAATTTGTTCTGTGTCTGTGTGTACATTATCTATAACATTTACACATATATTTAGAAATACGTAGATACCTAAGTTTAGCAGCAGTGTGGTTGCAAAACTCACTACTCTTATTCCGCCGTTGCCGGTCCCAAGCCCGGATGTAAAAGGAGGAGTGTTGGTTTAGTAAGAGACAAAAAACCAACTGTAAAACGTCAATGCCTGGTACACCAGTAATTTAGTTGTAAATAGAAATTTCAAAGGCAAAAAGAAATCCACAGAATCTCCATATTGGGCATCAGCGAAACCCATCTTCGTGGACAAGTTCACTTTACCATCACACCTGGAAGTACTCTGTACTTCTCAGGGAGAGATGACTCGAGCAGGAACGGCGTTGCTATACTCTTATGGCGTTACCATCAAACATGAATAAGTTTGTCCTCGGATACCCTCTGTCTGATAGAGTCATCAGTTTGCAGTTGAACACAAAACCATGCCTTTTGAACATTGTGCAAATCTACGGCCGTCAAGTCGTCAGATTATAATCATGCTCGGCTACTAGAATACAAAGGTTGGCAATGCAGACTACACCATCAAAGACACTATCGGTAAATATGGTCTTGGCACTAAAAACCAGCGCGATCAAAACCTCATTGAGTTTTGTGTTGGTAGTAAGCTAAGTATTATGAATATATATATAGAAATCAAAGTGATTGTACAATGAATAACAGCAACTGGAAATCGCCCATAGCAAATGTGAAGACTTTTCCCGGTGCCGATTGTGGTTTCGACCACGTATTGCTAGTTGCTTGTCTTTCCCTGCACCTGAAAGCGATCCATCAACACTCACGACCAACGCCCCAAAGTTTGTATCCTATTGAACGGTTGCACTTCCAAAGCATGATCGAAAACAAACTTGCTGAGAGCTCAACACTGCCGGCGACTGATACCGATACTCTTTGGGAAAGTTTTGATAGTAAAAGCAATGAGTCTCTAAGTGTAATTGTTTCGAAACGAGAGAATGACCACAGGAAAACAGATTGGATAACAGACCACATGTGGGAACTTTTCAGCAAAGAAAAGAAGTCAAAGCGAGAGGCGAGGCGAGGGGCTGCAGAACCCCATTGTACTGAAGGAATATTCATAGATGTGCCAAATTATCGAGAATAAATGCCGCTTTGATAAGAATAACTTCATTGGTAACATTTGTCGCGAAGTGGAAACAGTATTTAGGAAAGTCCGCTTGCTAAGCAGGAAATTTAAGGCCAAATCATGGGTCATGTTATTGCAGAGAGATGGTTCGGCTATTGTGAACAACTATACAAAATGCTTAACACAACGGCCTATACTCAAGTGGACTGGTCCAGTCTGCACCTGGTGCCGTACATCTTGCGATCAGAGATAGTAGCAGATATCAACTCGCTAAAAGCTAAAAAATCACCAGGTCCAGATCAAATTACAGCTAAAATGCTTAAAGCCCTGAATGAAAAGGTAGTTGACAAATTGCACAACATCTGTAACAACAATTGGCAGAACGGTGAGTGGCCCAAGGCTTAGACTCGGTCGATCATCCTTCCACTACACAAAAAGGGTTCTACAAAAAAATGCGATAACTATCGCACACTCGCTCTAATTTTTCATGCAAGTAAGGTCTTGCTTGCATGAAAAAGTTTGATATCATCAAAAACCGAGTCCGCTACTACCTTGCCTGGCAGATCCCGCAAGAACAGGCTGGCTTTGTACTTAATACTTAATGTCAAGCAAATTGTGGAGAAATGCTACGAATTCGACACACCGGTTATTTTATGGTTGGTTGATTATAGAAAGGCTTTCGACAGTGTCAAGTGGAGCTGTCTATGGAGATTCTTATCGGAACTGGGTGTACCTCATCACTTAACTTACGCTCTTGCAATCACTTTATCATAACAGCCAAGAAATTGCGAGGGTCGGCGGGACGTTATCTAAACCATTCAATTTCGAAAAAGGATTTCGACAGGGATGCATCCTTTACCCATCCTCTTCAATATATACGGTGAATATATAATGATGGCTGGGGTAGAGCCATCACAATCGATGGTCGCAAAATTTGTAATTTGCGATACGCAGACGATACTACCTTACTAGCAGCAACTGAAGCTGAGATATCACCTATTTGGATAGGATGGAAAGCATCAGCACTTAACTGGGTCTCTTGATATACAGGTCCAAGACCAATATCATGGTCATAGATCGCATAGGCAAGCTTGGCTTAGAGGTAGTTGACAACTTTGTATACCTGGACGCAAGCATTAGTAGCAATTCGAGATACGAAGAAGAATCGGAATGACAAAGTGGGCCATGGCGAAACTTTATAGGATAAGGAAGGACAAAACATCTCCCTGAAAACCAAGATCGCACTTGAACGCACTCTGGTGTTCTCCATATTCTTGTACAGCGCGGAGACGTGGACCCTGAAGAAAGCCGATCGTGAACAAAAGAAGCTACTCGTATTACTTAAAATAATAAACATCACAAAATACAAAACAGCTGTTCAAAGGAATTCAACGACTAAAGCAGTGCTCAAACATCTTCCATATTCGCCTTCAATTTGGTCTTTAAATCCTAACGCAACCACCCCGGCTATAACTATACACTAGGGTGATAAAGGTAACAGAGCCATCACAACGTAAATGCCGAGCCGTGATTGTCTCTCGGCTAACATTTGCTATAGCCATCCAATTAGGGGACTTGTTTGTGTAGCGCGATACAACCTTGTGAGCTGTTTTACTGTACGGTCTGCAACAAAACGAATGGCAAATTCATCATTAAAATCGTCAAACATGTCACACAGCTTATGTGCGATGTACACAGATTATCCTTATTATAAGATGTATCTGGTATCTTAAAAGTACATTATATTTTACCTAAAAGAAAAAAAACATATATATACTTATTTCAAAAGGCAACTTCTTTGTAAGGAATGTATCCTGTGTCGCGGAAGACTTTACAAACATACATAAAATAGACACTAAGAACACACCCAGACTCAGAACAACAATTTGTGTATCACACAAAGATCGACCCCACAACACTCAGCGCAGTAGGAAGCGGCGAGGTGACCGCTTAAGCCAATACGCCATCCGTTGTCTAATTGGAAATTGCAAATTCCAAGCATGCTAGCTGCAGCCACATAATCAAACATTTGCACGGAACCCTTCGGAATATTTTCTTCGCGATACTCCGTGTCCCTCGCGACCTTAAATTCACGCTAAAAATACTCTGGAAACAGAGCGAGAATGGTTTCATTCTGTTACCATGCTGATTCCAGAGCGTTTCCAAAGTGGATTTATCCTGATACCAAAACGTATCCAAAGTGAATGTATGTTGAAACCATGATGAATAAATTTTGAAAACAGAGTGTTTCTCGAGTGATTACATATTGTAACCACATTGTATTCATAGTGAATTCATACTGAAACCAGAGTAAAACTAAAGTGAATAACATGTTGACCTTCTGGAACCAACATGATTACAAAAAGTTTCCATACTGTTTACATAGTGTTTCCAGAATGAATTTAAGGTCGCCAGGGACACGATGTATCGCGAAGAAAACATTCAGACCGTAAATGATCCGTCTAGGCTATGGTCTTTGAACCCTAGAACTGCTAAATGAAAGCAGCTTCTTAATGGCCACTTCGCTAGCAGGTCAATCTACATTTTCTTGAAGAAAAACTTCTTTACGCACGCTTGACTTGGGTAGTAAGCTGGTGAATGCCTGACATGAGCATTACGAAAAGTGTGATCGGGCTAGGCAAACAGAAGTTGAGAGGTAGGTTACGTTTTGTATATTAATGTAGAAAGAGAGGTGCGAGCACACATTTTCTTTCTCTCTTTCTCTCATCGCCAAGAAGTTTTACTTCAGTCGTGTGGTCTAAAGCATACTCGTTTTTTTTTATTTAATCTTTCTTTTCTATCTTGAATAACTTAATTGATGGTTTACTCTTAATTATTTATTCGTTTGCTATGTGTTCTAAGGTATAAACAGTTCAAATGCTATGGGCACTCTTTGCCCAACATCTAAACACATACAATCACAAATATGTAACAACTAAATCTTAGAACATGGCCTTTATTCATTACCAAATCTGCAACGTATTTTTCTGTCGATGGTACTTACACTTCATTTAAAGGTCACTGGTTTATTATTTGAATAACTCCATCAATTACCCACTTTATTTTTAACGGAAATCATTTTATGCTTATTTTACAGTAATAGTAATAATGAATTTAATTTCAAATCTATCAAAAGTAAGAATTACCTTGTACCTAACAGTGTATGTGTCCTGTTTCTAGAACTATCGTGAATGAGACTGGAACACTATATCAAAATGTTAAAATCAAATGACAAAGAGCTCGTGCCGTTTTCTTCCTGGTTAACACGTGCTATCTGTTTGTAGTCCCTAATTTCAATGTTTCTTTGGCGTTTTTATACAGTTGTTTTTTTTAATTTCATTTATTTTTGGTTCACCTTATTGGATACTTCCGCCAATCAATTAATGATATGAATATTGGTATGTTTAAATTCATAAGCTTTCAATAATAATAAAAACTTTTATTTTTTAATCATGTGTTAGTATATGTATGTATTACATACATATTTCATATGTCATGCACATGGATGGAGAATGTTTAGTATAGTACCACATGCTTTACCGTGATCGGCGTACAAATTTATTAAGCGGACAGTTACAACTAATTAGATACATGATATTAATTTTAAAAACTCATTTAGCTGCGCATCACACACATTACATGTAGTATAATAAATTACAAATACTGTTTATAGAATAATATAAAAAAATATTAATTTAATAAAAGTTTATTCAAGTGGTGATTGTTTTTTCAGCTTTAGTTTCATGTTTTTCTTTCCTTTCGTCCTTTTCCGATTGAGCCCCTTGTGGAATCGACTTGCACCGCATCTTGCTGTACAGTACACATATTAATGTTCCTGACAACAGAGCTGCAGAGGTATGCCAAATGATTGGCCTGTTGGTCGAGTGGATAGCGATCCTGACTGCTAAAATAGAGGTCGTGGGGTCGAATCCGCCCAGGACTAATATTGTGTGATAAGCACTATCATTTGTTCTGTGTCTGGGTGTAATTTATGTATTATGTATGTATGTAGATGTATACGAATATGTTTATTAGAAGTCTGGTCCCCAAAATAGTTTTAAGCTTAGTTTAGGATCTGACGGCCGTACGTACCTACCTAAGATGACATTATTTTCTTTTCTATATTTAAGCAATTTATAGAGCCATTAATATTTGACCACAATAAGAATAAGGAGTTCGTTCAGACTGCCCAACAAAAGCCTGTCCGAGTTACAATTATGCGACCCTGACTGAAGGCAATATAGATTTTCTATCATTTCATTCTCTTCTCACCTACTTCTTTCACATTTTCCTATCTAATTCCTAAAGTATGCGCTTAACGACAATAGACTTGCCCACTTTAACGTAACTGGAACTAAAATTAAAGTCGGACAAATATGCCTCTGCCTACCACATGGGAATACGTAAGTGTATGTATGAATGTATGTAAGTATTTTTAAACAAAACACCCCGATAACCTTGCCACCATAGGTTGGGGATTGCTAATCCGGTATCCGTTCACTTGTGAATCTTTTAATAACTTATTCCCGGTAGTAATCAGATAGTGTGTAAGTAGAACACAGCGTTATAGGTTATCACAATCAGGTTCATATCTGTTAAAATTGTCACAACATGTTTTTGTAATATGTATTTTTTATCAAACATGGAAATTTGATAGCCTATACCTACTTTATGAGTGTTTGAAAACGTGATCAGTTTAACAATATTCTTCTTATTTCTGAAATATAACAAAACCATAAATTGGCCGTCTGCTCTTCTGAATTATTTTACAAATTTTAAAAGTTATAATAAATGCTTTGGGCAGCAATGAAGTTCGCACAACGGCTTATTAGATATATGTACGCTTAAACCCATTGCTAAGCACGTCTCTGGGGACCATTAATGTCCCATGTAAATATAATATTTAGAAAGAAAAATATTCTTTATATCAATCTAAAAAAAAACAAGAAATCTCTTGAATAAAGATTTTATTTCCAATTAAAGTTATTAAATAAATAAATACGTCAAATATTCCTAAA